GAGCAAAATTATGATAAACCCGTCTCATTTTTTCTTTCTTTTGATGATGATTAAATTGAAATTCAAATTTCATATCTTTTCAATTTTTCGGAAAAATTGTTTTTATGATTTACATCCAATAGTCAGCAAGCATTTTTTTTTTTAGTAACAAAAAAGAAATCAAGCGAGTAAAAAGAGGGTTAAGGTTGGGATGATATGGTAATTGGCTTGAGGCATTAATTTAGTTAAGTATGGTCTTTTAGGTAAAGACACAATTAATTGACTTGTATGGTAGAATTGCAAATAATTGAAAATCACGTAGGAGATATAAGAATTTCCCTAATATTAATACGCACTGTAAAATTTCTCTAGTATTACTCTGTAACTAAAAATTCCAACATAAATTATTATGATACAAAATTTCAATGATAGTTCAATGGAACAACTCATAATGGGAAATTCCAATAAAAACACTATTAAAATATTCTAGTTGAAATTAAAATTATCTTAAAATTTATGGATTTTAGTTGGAGTACGCAATTTCTATAGAAATTTGTTTGGATCATATTTCGTATTCATTTGCATGGCCTACTTTCATTTGTAGTAGTGTTTGTTATTATTGTTTGTGGAGGTATTTTTGTCCGTTGTATTAATCGTGATACCGCAACAAGTGGTATCAGAGCTAAACATTTACCTAGGCTCGTTCAGTGATGTGGACACTGCATTCGAGTTCGAGATGGCAAAGGGTGATGTGCAGTTACACCTCAAATTGATTCTCCATAATCCCTTGACCGATTTGCTCCAAAAGACCTGTAAAGACGCCGAGAGATGTTCCCGACGTTAAACCTCCGACGATCAAGTCAGTAAGGTGATATTAAAAGCTGTATAGAAATATAATGAAATCTTAAAGTGTATAAAGTGTGATTAGTCTTTACCTTCTATCCATTTCACATATTTGTAGAAGATTATTAGCTTCCTGAACAAGCTTCTGCCCTGCCCGACTGCCCAACTGCCCGATGGCCTGCCTGACTGCACTTTCTGTCCGAAAAGGCTACCCGTTGGTTACTAGGCTACCCTTAGGTCTGCCCCTTGGTTATTTAGCCTCATTCTTGTCCGTCCTATTAACTGTCTCATTATTCATAGCCCTACACGTGTCCCTTGATAATAACCTAGACTTGATCCTTTTTGTAGGTCATTCTTTCTAATCAGGCCACCTTGTGGAGACATATATGTGTTGTCCAAGCTCCCTACCTGCCAGACTATACACTTACTTTTAGTAATTCGAGCTTCTTAACTGACGAGCTATATATCAACTCCATGTATTCGAGCTACTTAACTTTCGAGCTATAGTCATATTTCAGTTATCCAAGCAACTTAACTGCCAAGCTATATACCTACTTAAGTTATCCGAGCTACTAAATTGCCGAGCTATATACCTACTCCAATTATCTGAGCTACTTATCTGATTTCTATACTATGTCTGAACCCATCGGCCTAGCTAATCTTCAGCCTACAATCCGTGCTAACCGTGACCAGTTCAACCGGACTATCTTTATGTGCTATATTAAAGGGGATCAAAGGCCCATCACTATCTTCATTCATTCTGACATGGTGATGTCGAATGTAAGACTCGTTATTGATACCTTTGATGGAACCGATCAATTCTACATGTGGAAAGGCGAGGCGCTGGATTATTTCTTTCAGCAAGGTGTGATCATGCCATTGAAGAAGAGAAGACCAAAGGCGTTGGCGAGAAGGACCGAAAGAGTATCAACCGCTTAGCATCCAGAACATTTAGTTTGTGTTTGTCCAGAGATAAGAAGTACATCTTCAAGAATTAGAACTCTGCTCAAGCCTTGTCGAAGCCTTTGAACACAAAAATTTGGAAGAAGAGTTGCTGAATTAAGATCCTCATCAAGAAACGATTTTCAATTTAAGCACCACCATGGAACATCGATGAATAGCCACATCACTGCATCCAATCAGTTAATTGTAGATTTGTTAAATTTGGACGTCACATTCAGTGATGAAGATTTGACACTAATATTGTTATCATTGTTGAGTGGTGTGTGTGTGTGTGTGTGCGTGTGTATTTACTTAAGGGAAAAAAATACCCATCTGAACTATCACGATTTTGGCGCATTAACATATGAACTTTTTGTTTACCACTACGTGAACTATGCGGGTTTGTCAAGTTACCCCCATACCAGGTTTAAGTCTGTTTTCACCTGTTATAAACCATATTTGAGCGTCATATAAATACCCTGTAACGCCCGCTAATTTTGCAATAGAAAATACTTTATTTCTTGAAATCGAATTAATTTTTTTTTTCAAAAACATTTTCAAGTCAAATTCTTCAGGCATTACTAAAAAACCTTTTCTTTCTATAACTCGAGTCAAAATAAACTCTATTTCACAAAGTATTGAACATACAATTGAAAAACTCATCACACAGTAATTGATTCAATATTAATCCCAAAATAACACAACTCGCAAACTTTAATGCAAAAGCAAAACAATTGCTAAATAAATTACTTCGACCACCCTCGTCTCTTCGTGACCGTTGCCAGCTACTCAACCTGAAAATATTAATGTATGGGGCTGAGCAAACACAAGCTCACTGTGGGAACTATGCAATTATTCATCATAATTACAGATAGCATAATCTCACTATATAGTGAACCACACATATCTCAACTTGTCAACTTCTCAATCCATCAATTCATCTTATGTGTACACACTTTAATCGATTATTTGGACTTGTCTGCCGCGTAGTTTATCGCATAAATATTTCACACTTAATCAGTTATATTCTCTTTATCTTCATGACATGCATGTGCATTGTTTATCGCAAAATCTATTTCGCACTTAGTTAATTATCTTTGTATTTTTGTCGCATAATTTGTTTCACACTTTATCAACTATCTTCGTTTGTCTGTCGTATAGTTTATCACATAATCTGTTTCACACTTTATTATTTTTCTTCGCCAGTCTATCAAATTTCTTATCACATAATTTATTCGCACTTTATCAATTATCTTCGTCTGCCTATCAATTTATGTCGCATAATTTTCCGTACTTTATCGATTATTTCCGACTGTCTATTATGTCGTTTATCATATAATTTTCGCACTTATACTTTATTCAATTATCTTCGTCTATCTGTCGTATAATTTATCGCATAATTTGTTTCAAATTTTGTGAGGTAAAAATGTTAACGTATTATTTGACAATGTGAAAAATTGATTTCGTCTTCAAAGTGGGGTG